CTGTAAATGCTGATAGCGTCGGGGCTAATGCTAAAGCTAACAGGCTAAGCTGAAGTTCTTCTTCCATGAAGCAGCTCTCCTCTCTGTCAACGCTCTCTGGTTTCATTTAAAAGAGTCGATCATCAGATATTGTCCAAGATTAACCTTCAGGGTGGATATAGCTCGCTAGCAGCCTCGCACCGTTGACCTATCCACATCATCATTTACCCAGATTGCTTTGTGTGTAAATAAAATGGCTCGTCCGTGTTAAAATATATTTTAAAAAATTTACAAAACTAATCAGCCTACAGTATTTTTACAGTCTTTATTTTAGTTAAAATATTTATTTATCAAATAAAGTCTAATGTTACAACTAATCAGGGATCCCTTTAATATTATTCTTGTCAGAAATGATCAAAACAAGCTTGTACGGCAGGTCTCTTAGTTCTTCAAATATCACCTCTAAGCTAATTTTGTTAAATTATAATATTAATAGTTTGCTAATTTATATAGATTTTCTATTTTCATTGCTTCTGATTAGCATAGGCCACAGGACATCAGGGTAAAGCTGAAGGATAGACCAACCATATTCACAGCCACTTCCTTCCCGTCTTTGCGGTCGATGAAGGGCCCGGCCCACATTGACCTGGTAGGTCGGGTCCTTGAAACGACGCAGCCCCTGAATTTGGGCACAGCCTGTCATCTATCAGTAATCAGCACACCTGTTATGATTCAGTAATCACCTGTCCCAGTCCTTGCTCGCTCTGATTTTCCTCGGTGCCTTGTCAGATTTTCTGTTTGCGTACCTCATGTATCTTGCTGTTGCTCCTGTCACATCTCCCGTGCTGCGTTTGGATTTCTAAGCTGAATAATAAATTTTACTTTATCATGATCTTGTCTTTGCTACAGCTGTCACTAATGACACGTAGTGATTCATGGGCTTATTTAAAGTAAAAAGAACAGCAGAGCAGGTTGAACAGGACAACTTTGTTTTCACGTGTAAGGTGTCTGCAGGGTCACAGGCACACGTTGTAAAGTGATACTGAGCACAAAACTTGGAACAGAATTTAAACCAGAAATAATGTTTTTTTTAAATAAATTATTTCCATAAATGAAAAAAACTAGCACCCTAACAAGAACAAGAGTTTGTCAATGAATTGTTACACTATTGCAAATAAAAATAACGAAACATTGCTTTACCAAAATCTAGAAGACTTGAACTTTGTTTTCTGGATGATTACCATATTTTTCTCATATCCAGCTGCCCAACTTCCCTGTGCCTTACCCTAAAAAGAGCTTAAATAGACTACGGAGTCTCCCACCCATAACTGGACCGGTGCTAACTGGATGACAAAGGTCAGAGACTTTGTGAGCTGCACACTGAGGCATGCACCCGCCCTCATCCATCACACAGAAAAACATGTGAGAGGTAATTGGTTCTGTGGTGAGCAGGCCTAATTGCTTTGTAGCTGTCAGTGCAGTGTGGGCACTTCAGGTGCTTCACCTTAACAAGACGAGCCTCGAAAGTAAACCAGCTGAGAACTTCTCCGGACTCAGACTGAGAGGTAAAAGTGAGCCTTTAGCAGTGCTGCTCGTCTGCCTTTTTTGCTTTTCCAGCGTCGCTTTCACTGATGTTTTCTATTTCTCACTGAGCCCATTGGCCACATATGTCCAAATTAGCTTTGTAAGGTTCTGGCACGAGGGATTACACAGGCAAAACAAACAAGCTAGCTGCGGGGGGATTTTGTAAAGCATGCTGTTACAGTGGAGGCCCGACCACAGAGATTTCCATCCTTTTAAATTGAGGATTGCTGCAGCAGACTTGAAATAAAACATCAAGCAAAAATAAAAAATAACTAGGATGACGTACAATGCAAGGGATTTAGGGTTTACTTACAGTAAAAGTACTGTTTCCTCATTGGTACTGCTATCTGTAAAATTTTTGAGTCGTATTTACCCAACGTACCAACGTACACCTACCAACTTTACCTACCTACCTACCAACGAACCAAGCAACCAACCAACCAAGCAACCAACCAAGCAACCAACCAAGC